CGTTGAATAGGCGCAAAAGCATCTCCGCTAGAATGGGAAAAGGCGGTTAACTGAAAGTTGTTCACGAAATGTGTGAATAGACTTAAGCTGTAAGCTAGACGCAAAGGCTCCTCATGTGCGTAAAATTGTGCAAGCCCTTAGGTAGAGTGATTTTAAAAGGGATTTTGCGCATGTGGAAATGGGGGCTTTTCCGATCTATGACCATTATTGTGTTTTGGTAAAACTTAAAAGTATCACACCAAATTAGGATGTAGGGAATGAAGGGATCAATGTTTTTTTTTTGCAAGGGAATGTAGGGAATGAAGGGATCAATGTTTGGTGTGAGGTAAAAAAATTAAGTATTTTCCCGTAATCCTTGAGTGATTTATACCTACTGGCTACTGCTGCTAATCTGCATCTTACTTGGGTTATGAAAATCATGCTCTACAATTGATTGATAAAATGTAATTGTTGTATATAGCTAATTTGCTAGTGCAGGTAAAAGTATAGGCATCTATTGAATACTAGGAATTTCCAATTTAATATTTTGAATAAAGTTTAACATAACTTGATGAGGGACTACATATGATTTGCTTTTTTTTTTCAAATACGTTATACATATACAGAAGCCTGGTATTACAGATGTGCTTATTGTTCAAACATTATGTACGATTCATCTTGGAGTATTAAATTAGAGTATTACACACTTTTTTAACTATAGTATTATGCATTTAAAGTTTAAACTATTCTCTATTGATACATTTCAAGTTTTGTATTACAAATTGTGCTTATTGTGCAAACGTTTGTATGATGCATTTATATATATATACAATACTTCTTCTGTTCTTAAATGAACATTCCTTTTTTTTTCCGGTCCGTCCCTAAAAAAAGTATCATTTCCTTATTTGGTAAGCAAATAAGGTACTTCTAAATAGGTACAACAGCAATAACATTTAAGCCTTAATACCAAAAGATTTTGGGGTCAGCTAACATGAATCAATCCATGATATCGATGTTAAAAAGAGAAGACAGAGAAATAAGAAGAAAAAAATGAATAAGTTTTATACGAAGTAGAGGGGGTGGATCTGGTACAAATTGTGTTTATTGTGCGAATGTGTGTACGATGTATTATTACGTTATTGGCATAAATATTTAGGGTCAAAGTGTTGCATATTATTCAGACATAAAATAACAGTTATACATTAACGTTCAAAGAGTTCCATCCTAAAAAAGTTAGCTTTTATTATAAAAATGTCATTGTGCCTTTATAATCTTTAGATCCCTTATCGGATTAATATGTAGTCTGTAAATTATGAGGTGTTTGGATTTGATCCCTTATCATATAACTATTATAAGTATTCTGTCTCTTAAAATGTTGTCATCTTTACTTTCTGGGTCGTCCCAAAAAACAATGCCACATTCCCTTCAATCAATTTTTTTGTGGTTCTTGTTGTTTCTCTCTTTTCTGCACAACTTTTCTCCACATAGTTTTAATTTATTATTCGTCGTGTTGGTCAAATTTTACAAAGTTTTAAGAGATGGAGGGAGTATCATATTTCGTATATACTTCCTCCGTCCCGTGAATATGTTCTTGGTTTGACCTACACACATATTAAGGAAATAAACTTACTAGAGGTAAATTTTACTGTTTCGACACTATTTGGCACTGTTTGACACTGTTTTGCACTGTTTGACACTATTTTGATGTAGGATAACTTTCCATTTAGGGAAAGAGGGACTTCTTTTTTGGACTGCTAAAAAAGTAAAGCGGGAACATCTTTGCGGGACGGAGGGAGTAGTATATATGAGAGCAGTTCATATCAGGTCCGCTTGATAGGACTCACCGTCCGACTAAGGCCATTTGAGACCCTTTCTAATGGAATCGTTTTGATGATTTTTTTGAACATGTTCTTTATCACTTCTAGTTTATGCCCACTAAATTTCAGATGAAAATTCAATTGGGAAGTTAGTCAAATGTGAAATTGAAAAACACTGCACCGGTTATATATAAAACGTGTTGCTTTTAAATAGCTTATTTAATTTTCTTCCGGTTGAATTTTAAGCTGAAATTTTGTGAACATGAACTAGATTTCATTAAAAAGATATTTTAAAAAATTCATCAAAAAACTTTTATCGGGAATGGTCTCATATGGCCTTGACCTGATGAAAGGTCTTGTTAGACCGGATTGAAAGGATCACTACTCTATTGCGAAAGAAACCCAAATGCGGGATATGAGACACGTAATTATTATGTTTGGTAAAAGTTATATACGGAATAATTTATATAAAAAATTTAGGGATATTACCCGAAATAGGACTAAAAATGTTTCAAAATTCCAAAATAGGACTGACATGTTTTTATTCCCAAAATAGGACTAATTACTGCCATGTTTTGGCAGTACCAGACTTCAAACATGGCAGTATATTCCAAACTTGGCAGTAATTGCTCCTATTTTGGGAATAAAAAACATGGTAGTCCTATTTTGGAATTTTCAAACTGTTTTAGTCCTATTTCGGGAACTTTCCCAAAAATTTATAACCCTGCATTTTGCACCTCTGGTTTAATATAGACTTTGAGGAATCTCTAAAACTTTACTTATATTCCTTATGAAAACTCAGTGTAAACGAATATCCAAAATAATAGGGAAAATTGTCAAATAAGCCCATCTAGGGAGTGTTTGCAATTGCTTCAACTTTAAAAAAGTGATTTTTTAAAGTGATTTTGGGAAAAGTGATTAATAGTAAAAGTTGGTAGTGTTTGAGAAAAAAGTGATTCTGAAAAAGTAAAAGTTGGTAGTGTTTGGTAAAATAAGTACTTTTTGTGTAATAGAAAAAGTGAGAAGCAGTTTAAAGCACCCTTCTACCTGCTTCCAGCTTTTAGCTTTTAAGTGATTAATTTAAGCAGAAGTTGTCATTTGAAAACACTCTTTTCAACTTTTTTTAAGCCAAAAGCTGAAAAGTGCTTTTTTTAAGCAACCCCAAACACTCTTCTAGTATAGTGAAAACTTTAATTCAGCCTTCATACTATCAAAACACTCAATCAAACCCTCCAACTACTAAAAAACCTCCAATCAGACCTTTTAGTCGGTTAGAAACCGGTAATGGCAATTGTTACTTACGTGTCCAATTATGTGTGTTTATTTTTTCTTTTTCTTGAAATAATTCGGTAAATTATAAGGTACAACCGGCTGTACTAAGAGGAAGGTACAGCCGGCATTTTTGTAATTAGTCATAACACGTAAGGTAATAGATAGGTTCTCCTCCTGCACTGCAGTTTCATTTTTTCCGCCACATGCCATACTCCTCTTTTATTTTCCATCTGATGGCTGCTACGGCTTCAATGATAACCCTCTTTTTTTTTCTTGTTTGTTTTTTTTGTTTTCTCTTTTCTGTCGTTGCTTTTCACTTTCTTGCTTTTTTACTTTTTACGTGGCTTTTGAGTTTCATTTCATTTGTTGTTTTCTTTTTTAGTTCATTCTTTTCTCAATTTTTTTCTGTAACATGCTTTACTTTTTATTATTATTATGTAAATGAATAATCTAAAATTTGATTAATGTTTGAGTTTGATTTTTCTTCTTTTTCCAATCAACTTCTAATTTAAGTTTTTCTTTTTAATTTTTGCATTATAAGATATTTTAGGTATTAGTGTTTTGTTCATCTATTTTAAATTTTAAGATGAATTTTGTTAGTTTATAAATATTATGTGTTAATTACTAACATGAGTTTTCTGTTCTTCTAAAATGAGTATAGTGTAAAATAAATGTGTATGAGTAAATATCATAAAAACAACATGATTATATTTGTAATTCAAGAACAAAATACTATAAATTATTTCTAATTTAAAATTATTATATTTCTCATTGTAAGTTAAATTATTATATTTCTCATTGTAAGTTAAATTATTATATTCCAATACTCATTTTATAAGTTACATATGTTTATCTGGTACAGATTTTATACTCATTTTAAAATGTCATATTAATTCATATTAATGCTTATTTTGTATGCTGCATATGCTCAATCGATATTGATGTTATTCTCATTTTTAAAATGTCATATCAATGCACATTTCAAAAGTATCATAATACATTAGATTCACATATTAAACTTCATATGGATTGATTGTAGATATAATTTATTAAGTTTTTATAAAAGAAAAAATATAAAAAGAAAGTGAATTAAAAGATATGAAGCAGATATTATGATGCTTACTATTGATTAAACTCCTAATATTCAATATAATAGGTCTAGTGCTAATTAAAAGTTCATTATACTCATTTAATAGAAAATGTTATTTTCAACTCAATATATATAGGAGGTTGATGCTCAATGAAAATATCGTGACATCCAACTAACAAACCTTGTTACTTTCATATTTACGCTCATTTTGTAAGTTACATATGCTCACTTGGTACTCATGTTATGCTCATTTTAAAATGTCATAACAATACATATTTCAAAAGTACCATATTACATTAGATTCGCATATTGAAATTCATAGGAATTGATTATAGATATAATTTAATGAGTTTTTATAAAAGAAAAAAATAATAAAAAGAAAGTGAATTACAATATATGAAATTGATATTACAATACACATTATTGGATTCTTAATGCTCAATAGAACACGTCTGATGCTCATTAAAAAGAAAAGGAAAGTGAATTACCAGATATGAAGGAGAGATCACGATGCTCATTATTTGACTCTTAATGCTCAGTATCATATGTCTGATGTTCAATAAAAGTGCAATAATGCTCATATAACGAAAACCGCGATTTTCACTGAAATTACGAAAATGCCACCGTTTTTTAGTTGTGATATCAGCTTTCTTGTAATGACACGGTGCTCATTATTAGACGTTTAATACTCATTAAAATTGGACTATTGCTCATTAACAGTACACTAATGCTCATTTAGTAGAAACCGCGATTTTCACATTATTACAAAAATGCCACCGAATTATTTTGTTGTTTTTCTCTTGGGCCTTTTTTTGGACCGGTTGTACGGTGTTCACCGTAGAGCGGGTTGTACAATATAAGTAGTCAAATAATTCATGACATGTTATCAGTTATCACTACCGCCAAAAACTAAAAATTGAGATCAGATATTGCAGAATAGTTCTTCTCCTCTGTAACAAAACTGCACCCGCCGCTTCTGATTTCTCATGTCCCCTTCCCTCAAATTTTTTCTCCATATTTTCACGTTAGTACTGCTTCTAGGAGAAGAGCTCAAATCCAAAAGCAACTCCACCCATCTTCTCCAAATTATTAGTAAATTTCTTACAGATGATACCTCTTTTCATCTTCTCCAAATTATTAGTAAATTTCTTACAGATGATACCTCTTTTCATTCTCACTCTTTTTCTTCCTTCTTTGATTTGGGAAACACTAAAAGATACCATTTTTACAGGCGGCGACGAACCTCTTTTGAAGAAGCATTGTAAAAAACTATCAGAAAATGAATCTGGCCCAGGTTTAATGTCTAGTGTATCCAAGTTCAGTGAAGGTGAAATTGGATGTGGATGTAGGGCAGTCTCCACTCTCCATAGCTTCTTGAGCCGAAAACCGACCGTTTCCTCCAGAGAAAGAGCTGATGCCAAGTAGTACTGAATGTTGGTGTTTCTCTTCTTGGGCCTCGGATGAACCTTCATGGCTTGAACAATCTCTGCGAATTAAGAACTAGGAGGGATTTGGTGAACGAGAGCGGGTTTGAAAAAGTGGAAAGTTGAAGGAAGAAGTACTGTTTAATTTGAGTTCAGAATGACAAAGGAAGTTGCAAAGATATAAAAGGAAGACGGTAGACGGAGGATTCAAGGGCGGTGCCGGTGTACGACGGTCTGATTGAGTGTTTTAATAGTACTTAATGATATATAGTACTTAATTGACGTTTTCACTATAGTAGAAGAGCTTATTTGACAGTTTTCCCAAAATAATATATTTCACTTAATGATCATTAAAGTTCAACGGAATGATAGCCTTGACTACAAATTAGAAAAAGCGCTCAATTTAGATGTTCTATTGATGTAGACGACTAAGAAGATCTTGATGCTAAGGATATTGGAAACATTCATACATGAAAATGTCGACAGAAGTCTGAGTTTGAATTGAAATTGAATTTCTACTCTTTCTAAGCGTGAGGAAAGAGTTCATAAAAGTCATGTATTAAACACTGTTTTGAAAGGTCACGATATTTTAAAGAAATAATAATTGATTCCTAATGACTTACAAAAGTGTTTTTATATATCACAGCTGGTAAAGATTTGAGAAGCATGAGTACATATAATTGATAAAAAACTGTGTTTAGTCTACAAAAATCTTGCAGAATCTGCACAAGTCTTGATGAAATGACGCACACACTTCAATTTAGTGTGGATGTCATCCAATATAATCTAAGTTGGAATACTCTAGGCTTCACGAACCTCCCTCGTCTGGGAGGTCTTGTGTCATCACTTAAGATAGGAACCTAGGGAATTGTATAAGTGACTCATATTTACTTCTCTAAGAGTTTTAGTCGGGTTCTTGGGATCCTGAGATTAATCCGACAAAATCAAGTTCACCATATGTCTAAAACAAAAAATTAGATTACCATGCAAAATCCTAGTCGGTATCAGAAGTGGGTCATGAGTAGGTCCAGCCCTAACATTTTAAAAAATATTCAAAATGAAATAGGAGGTCCCAAAATTAAAAATTATAAAATCTAAACAAGTACTAAGCAAGTATAAGATTTTAATTACGAGTAACCTATTTTTCACAAACAAAATAACGAAATATCATATCCCAAAAAAGTAAGTTTATTTCTCATAAGTTAATTAAATTAGTAGGGAAAATAGAGATAAAAATGAAAAAAAGCTACGTGTACACATTTTGTGTACAAATTTCATGTGCAAGTAGCACGACTGGATAAAAAAATAGAGTAATGGAGTAAAAATGTGGTACCATGCATACACTAATAAGCAATCGTGAAGGCCTAGGTCGAGCTCTACGAAGGAGCTTCTCCCAAACCTAATTGAAAAGAGTTTAAACAACAAGTTTTAACAATTTGATAAAAGTTGATTATTAGTTTTTTATTTTATATAATAATTTGTTGTGACTAATTAATGCTAAAAGATACATACATCTCTATAGATTTAAAAATATCTTACAATTTTAAGACAAGTCTTAAAATAATTATTGCACAATCATGCAACTAAGATCTTTCAGAAACTTTTTAATGGTACATAAGTTATAAACTTAATTAGAATGCATAAACGTAATAGGAGTTCTAACCCTTACTCTTAATTGCAATCAATTTAACATGTATTTTCATTTATGGTTCTCTAAATTGGGTTCATCTAGGCATGGACCGGTTCCGGTCTAACCGGCCCGGCCCGCCAATCTGCGGGTCCAGACCGGCCCGGCAACTGGGCCTAGGACCGGCAACCGGGCCTAGGACCGGCAACCGGGCCTAGGACCGGCCCGGGGTGTTAGGGCGGGGCGGTTTCGGGATTGCCCTTCCTTTGGAACCGGCCCGGCCGGTCCGGGCTCGGTCCGGGCCTATATATATTTTTTCATTTTTTCATTTTGGGTTGGGTGTTTTGGAGGGGGGGTTGGGATTGGGGAGTGGTGGGGGGTGGGGGGTTGGGTGTTAATTAGAAAAGAAAAAAAAAAAGAACCGGCCCGGCCCGAGACTGGCCCGGACCGGTGGAATCTCGGGCCTGTTCCGGGCCTTTACCCAACAATAAAAAGCCCGGTTTGGACCGACCTGGAGCCCGGTCCGGAACCGGTCCATGCCTAGGTTAATCCCTCTATTAATCGGATCAATAAATTTGGAGGTATGAAAGGAGAAGAATTGAAGTCACTTGATTTCCTTTAGAATCACATTGAATTGAGTTCTTAAGACCATTTGATTAACAAAATTTTGGATGGTTTATTATAAATAAATGAAATTGATTCATTAATAAAAGTACCCCAAGTTTGAGCTAAACAACGAGACATCACGTTGAACTCTCTGAGAAATGACTCTCTAACTACACTCTCGTCCATTATCTGCTCGGAGCTTCAATCTCTACCTTAACAAGGTCTGGAAGCGTCGTATTTGGACCAATACATTTTGAAGAACTTTTTCATGCAATAATTCTAGGCATGTATCTTTTTCAACAAAAATAACTTTATAAATGGAATGGAAATAAGGAATACTGTATGAACAACGCATAATAAATTATGACACATACTTTAATTTAAACATGCACCTTTTTTCAAATTTTGTGTTGAAATGACACTTTGGGATAACAGTTCATTCAAGATGTAGAAATGCGTTCATATGTTAGTGTAAGTATGTCTAGTCATTTTATATAACAATAGAAAAATAACTTAAAGGACTTCAACCTTTTCAATCAAAGTGTGTATCATAAATTTATTCCATCAATGTCAAATGTGGTAGAAATTTGGTCATTTCCTTTATGTTATACGGAGTATTATATATCTATTCTAGCTCCATGCAAAATTGCAAAGACAAGATAAAGAGTAAAAGTGTACTTGGAATAACCGAGCACAACGATTATGTTGTCTCCTAGAATAGAACAATTCATACTTGGAACTCGACGTTTCACAAACAAGGGAAGAGGAGCGGAGGGAGAAGTTTGTCTGGTTTTCAGATGCCAAACCGGAGGCAAAGGCGTGTATAGATAGTGTTCAAAAGGCACCTCTCAAAGAAGAGTGATGACCTTTAATTTCAAAAGCTTTTATCCAATCCAAAAATTCAAACATGTAAACCAATAAGTAACCCAACTTAAGTTATGCACAAGAGAGCCGGGCGGCACTGCTACAACTCCACGCTTACCGTATGGGTCTTCCCTCATTATAAAACTTGGATGCCCCTTGGGGCTAATCCAATATCCATCAAAGGTTATCTTATGAAAAATCATCAACTTTGCCGGATCATTTTGGTTTAGGAATTTTTTTTACACGAATGTGCTCTCAGGTGAACTTTTGGCGATAATTTCTCATTCATTTCTAAATATTTTTGCACAAGTAATATATGGTTTTGTTGACCTTACAAAGCACTCCATAATTAGACTTTGTCTTATTAAAAATACTTTAGCTCAAGATGACCAGAAGATTAAATTATAACCAATTTCCCAACAATGTCTTAATGCAGGACTACAAAGCAATCGATTACGATGCCGAGTACAAATTTTGTAAAGCGCGTCTGACTAGAAGTACTGTCCGGTCAAGCTTGTTTGAGACTTCTGAGTCAAAAACTTTAGTTTCAAATTGAAAAACATAGCAGAAATGCTCAGGTCCAGCTGGAGGGACGGAAGCTTCCGTCCGAACTTCGACGTTTGGGGCAGTTCCTGCTGGAATTTTTTGATGAAATTTTTTGAACATGTTCTTCATCAAGTCTAGTTTATCCATACCAAATTTCGGATCAAAATTCGATCGAGAAGGCAGTCAAATCATTTTTTTGAAGTTGATTGCTTTTTAATATGTATATTTTGACACAGTAAACTTCAAAAAATGATTTGAATGACGTTGAAGTTCGGACGGCAGCTCCCGTCTCTCCATATAAGTCATGTTTGTCCAAGATGAACCCAACGTTGACCGGCTAACATTCTCTTAGGTCCAGTTTGACTCTTGTCCGATTATGACGGGATGTAAGAGTCCAAAACCAATTTGTACAAGGACTTCTTTTTTTTCTGTATAAATAAATAAAAGTCGTATACCGAATTCTTAAATCACGTTTCTTAGATCTTGCGTCACAGCCTATGCCATTTTTCTCAACTTCTAGAAAACGACCTTCTTCCCATTTCTGAATTCTTGTCAATTCCAAAGCTGCTATAAAGTTCAACATTCTTCCAATCATCATCATCCAAAACACCTCAACTCAAATCTATCCTCAACCACACAGTTTGCGTAACCGATCGAGATATGTCTCAATCATCTGCTCCTCATCCCAACTTTTCCGGTGCCGTTTCCGACGAACTGTCGGTTTTTGATCGGTTGCCGGACGATGTTCTGTTGCTCATCTTCAACAAACTGCGCGATGCCAAATCACTGTCTCTTTGCTCGATCCTCTGCACACGTTTCCGCTCTCTGATTCCGCAAACCAATTCCCTTCTCTTATCCGTTCCCACCTGCCCAGCGTTTGATTTCCGATCCACCGGCCATAATATGAGCAAACGCAGTCATCCGCTTGTTGCCTTCGCGAGTAAGCTTCTGATTAGACCCTTCCGATCTCTACTGCGCGTTCTCAGATCGAAGAGCGCTTTCAGTTCCACCACAGGATGCACTTGCCGGGACGCCGGTTACTACTCCTATTCTCCTGCTCACTATCTGAGGAATTTTAGGGATATTCGGATGCTGGAGCTCGCGCTTCCGAGCAAAACCGCCTGCATCGGCGAGTTCTGCGGCTTGGACGCCGGCTCGGTGCTGAAATGGACGGCGGAGTTCGATAGTCAGTTGAAGAGCTGCGTCATCGTAGGTGGAACGTCGATTTCTCACATCCGGAAGAAATCCGCCCAAACCGATACTGTAGAAGACGGATCTAGGGAGGAATTGCAGATTTTCGACAATGAGGAGCTCAAATTGAGGATTGTGTGGACGGTTTCGTGCCTAATTTCTGCATCCGCGCGGCACAGCTTTCTCCGGGAAACGATGAACGAGCACCGGGCTGTTGCGAGTGTGACGGTAACGGATGACATCGGCCAGGGAAGATTCACCATGAATTCCGAGCAAATCGAAGACATGAGAGTGAATTTCTGTGCGAAGAAGACAAATGAAGAGGCCGGAAATTGGGTGTATGATCGGACGAGGGTGCCGGCATTGAAGATGAAGATGTGGATTACGCCGGAGCTGGTGCTGCCGGAGAAAGGCTGCGTGATGGAAGGGGCGACTCTGGTGGTTGTACAGCCTGCTGAGGGGTGGAACACGGCGGAGGAAGAGGAGAGCACCGGAGTTGTGGATTTGGTGAGGAAGATGGACCAAGCTCTGGGACATGAAGAAGAAAGGGTATTTGTGGAAGCCGCAAAGAAATTGATGAAGTTGAAAAGGAGTTACACACTTGAGATGAACTCATTTTAGATCTTTCTGGTAAAATAATTTGATTGTTTTTTCCTTCTTGTTGTACCTACATAAAAGAAGGATTTACACCATAAAATTGCCAATTAATGTAAATACCATCATCGAAACCTTTGCTAATCTTAATAGCCTGACCTAATTGCCCTAAATTACCTATACCTTGAAATTTTACTCTCCCATTCGAAATTGGTAATTGCATATATCACTCTATTGGGTGTTTCAAGATGAAAATACCAGTTGTTTGACACGCTTTTTGTACATATAAATACGGAGTACAAAATGTGGATTGAAGAGCTTTAAATGTGGACATATTACTACTTAACGAGGCTATTAACGATGATATGGGATTGAGTTGAACAAATAGAAAGTTAAACTCAAACTCATTCTCCTATGCAACCGTGGGTTTTTTGGGCGTGGTCTTTTTCTACGTATTTTTAATTACTTGTATTGCTGCAAGATAAAAAATAATTGAAATAAAATTGAATTAAGTTATTCGGATAACTTGGTAATAGTTTGTTGAGTCATAGCCTCTGAGAGGCTTTCACAAGTCGAATTATGTTATAATTAAAATAAGTAAAGTTAAAATTTCTTTTCTGACTAATGGTCATTTTAGCAACATTAAAATTGACTAAATCTATTGAAATATATGAACTTTTGGAAATTTATGAACTATTGGTTGAAGCAGTTGAATCTGCTGAATTATGAAAAATTTATATTTAAAATATTACTCCGTATATGAATTATCTTCTACAGTAAATTCAACCAATTCAGTCAGAAAAACAACTACAACCTTACTTATTTTGATTATTGAACAATATAGCATGCGAAATAAAAAATTATATCTTAGGCAAAAAATGGTGATAAAGCAGAAAATATGTTTCATAAAGAAGTTGTAGATTGGCTGAAATTGTTTAAGAAGATATTTTTGCTAATTTTTCTTTATTTTATTAATTCAATACATTTTAAATTTAACTTTTTTCATAGGATTAGTCAATTCAGCCACTTCAATCTAGAAATCAAGAATTTCAATGTTATCAAACAAATTATTTTAATGTTATAAAACAAATCTTGATTTTATTCATAGAGGCAATTTTATCATTTTTTGTAAAGGGTCGCTTTCTATAATCCTTATATAATGTATTAATAAAAATCTCATAAATAAAATATATTTTACAACTTTAATTTCCTACTCTTTTTGTCATTCTCTTTTATGAGAAGTCCTAAACCCCCCTTGGTATAATTTTTCTCCTCTCTGCCTCTTCTCTTTCTTTGCCCTAACCCTGAAGTACCTTTGTTGTTTGGTTTGCTCTAAGGTACATATTTTGGAATTGCTAATGAGGTCTGTATGTACATAACCTCACCACGGTATTGCTTTAATGTAGCTTGTTTCGAGAATATCGTTGAAAGAAAATAGATTAAAAAAATACCTCATCAGCCTATGTTTAATTGTTAAGGTCTATTTGAAAGTGTATCAAATAGGGATTATTGTGCATCAGATCGATACTTTGGACGGCTGAAATCAATTCTCATTTTACGCGTTAAGATATCTTCTCATTTGAACTCATCTATATATATATATATATATATATATATATATATGGGTGAGATCACATACTAACCATTCCTCCCATGCTAACCTACAAACTATCAAAAACGGTGCATCTTTACATTATTTGTACTTCATATTGAAGTTCAAAGTGTTGCATATTATTTGTACTGCATATTAAAGTTCAAAGTTTTGCATATTGTTTTTATTGCATATTGAAATTCACAGTGTGCATCTTTACATTATTTGTACTGCATATTGAAGTTTAATGTGTTGCATATTATTGAGTTAGTAAGTTTGTATTTTAAGCATGGTTAGTATGTGATCTCTTATCTATAAATATATATATATATATATATATATATATATATATATATAAACCGGCCCGGCCCGAACCGGACCCCGGTTGAAACCCGGGCCGATCTTGGGCCTTCCCCCAACCATAAAAAGTCCAGCCGGGCCTCGACCCGACCCGAGGCCATGCCTAGGCTGGACCGCTTCCTCATGAGCCGTTTTTCTTTATTCCATCATATTTTAAATCCAAAAAATAGTGAGTCTTTAACTTCATAGCAGATGACGGTAGGGGTGGACTCGGGCCGGGCGGCCCGGTCACTGTTTGAACTGGCCCGAACCGCCGGCCTGGCCAGGGACCGGTCCGGGTAGGCCCGACCCGCTGGGGCTCCGGGCCGGGCTCGGGCCCCTGAAAAGGTGAACCGACCCGGCCAGTTCGGGCCAATTTTTTTTTTTTTTTTTTGAATTTTTTTTATGTTTTTGGGTTGGGCTGGGTATTTTGGGCCATTTGAGGTGGTTTGGGGTGGGGGGGGGGGTTGGGGGTTAATTAGGAAAAGCCAAAAAAAATTTGAACCGAGACCCGGCCCGAACCGGACCTGGGGGTTACCCGGGCCGGTTCCGGGCCTCCCCTTTCATGAACCGAGGCCCGGCCGGGCCCGAACCGGCCCGAGTCCACCCCTAGATGACGGTAATTCCATAAAAATGGAGTTATGAAGAAGAAATTTAAGGCTTGAAAAGCCAAGTAAAATAAAAACATAAATAGCATGACACAAAAACTCACAATTATACATTTAAGAAAACCATGCTAACCATCAAGATCATACTCCTTTACTTAACAGTTAACATGATACTTAGCAGTTAACATGATACAGAGCACATAGAAAAGATGCTCTACCGTTATATGAACAATACACCATAAAATGGCAAACCACAAACAGCTCTTCTAGTAAACAATTCTAAAGTCTTGTGGGTGCTATGAACAACACTGTTTCGCACCCAACTGTACAAAGTCAATGGGCCTTCTATCAAGAAGAAAAGTGATAAACATTTCTTCAATCGCCTGCCAGTCTCTCATTCCTCAGAAGAACTGGTGTCAGTACTTGCATCATCTTCGCTAGAGCTAGACGGCATCTCAACAGCAGCCCTGAAGCGAATACTTTTAGCCCAATATTCAAAGTGTGAACTTCAGTGTTAAAACTTTAAAGCTTATTGACACTAAATTTCAGCCAGCCAACTCAACACAGTTAAGACTTAGGTGCTTGTAATGATGACGTCACATACAGAAATCTTGCATCCAATCATGATTGAAACAAAGGATAGAAGCTGGTCAACATGTCCAGACTGCGCACAGCTTTCCTAAACTAAGCATTTAAAAGGACTAACATTTGCCAACCAATCCCATACATGTTATGCTTATAAATATTTCCTCGTGTTTTCCATGTACTACGTAATTGTATGTTTATGCTCATAATATTAGCAGGCAGGCAGGCATACTCAAGAAGACAATAACAAAATAAAAGTGAGATTCTGTTCAAACCTTCTCCCTTGATAATTTGTCTGTAATGCCATTCCTGCCAATGGTGCATTCCTTGCAAACCCTTGACTGTTAGACATGTGGTTGTTGGTCCTCTTAACATCCTGCACATTTTAGATTAACATTGATTAGAAGCATATGTAATTGCAAAAGATTGCTGAAAAAGTTCCTAACATCCATACCATTATTTCATATTTCCTGGGTATCTTCAGTTGACCCTGATTACAGCTTTCATCAAGCATTCTTTCGTCTCCACAGAATAAATCATCCTAAAAATAATTTGAAAGTTGAAGCACTGGCTGAATTATCAGAAATTTAAAATTGGCAAGTACTAGTTGCATAAAGACTAGAGAGAGACGTGAATATACCTTCTTAAGGCTTTTAGAGATTCCTTTCTCCCTAACATCATTATAGAAACCGACTCTATTAGATACACTTGAAGGCCTGAATTCAGAATGCTCCACTGAAGATACCTTTAGACTTCCTTCAAGGTGTCTTTTTAACCATGGCTCAGTTTGGTCAGTAGTAGTTCTTCTACTGTTAGGGCTTCGAAGACATTGGTTAGATACAAAGTCCATTCTCATTTCCCCACCATGTTTAGCCACGAGTTTATGGTTTTCTCTACTGTTAAATAACAATTCTCTTGCTGGAATCCCATCATTTTCTACTGGTGCGTCCCATGCAGAAGCAGAATATTCAGGAACTGGCAAAAAATTCTTCTTCCTGAACCTCTGGTTATGATATTTTTCTTGTTGATCAGTTCCAAGTGCCCTTTTAAATCTTTCACTAGACATGTCATGGTTATGAGAGCTTATCTTTGAATAGTATTCATATGCCTGTTTGGAGAAATGCAAAACGTGATTCATCAGTCATCACATAGCTTATTATTACTATTTTTTCTTATTTCTCCTAGGAATGGATCATCAAAATTGTACACGTGCAAGCATTGGAGGATTTCCAAAAAGAGAAGACAATAATGATACTGGAAAGAGTAACAAACATTGTATCACTAGGTATGCCAATCTATTGATCTAGCCTTAACTCTCACCGTCCCACCCAATCACCGGAGGGAGGGGGGGAGCACTAGCTTTGGTGAACAGATCATACACATACACACAGCGCAAAAAAACATGGATCAGATATGTAATAACCAATCCAGTCATCACCATACTTGCAAACTTGAGCTCTAGAAGAACAAAACATATCAAGATCATATAGATTACTGACTTAAGTGTGTCAGAAGTGAGATGAGTGGCCAGAGAGCACCTAGGTCACATTTTTTAAGCACCTAGGTCACATACGAATGCATAACTAGTGAGAGAAAGCTTCAAAATCATGTTAGAGCTTACACATCACATCTATTCCCGGATTGCAAATCCATACATACCATCAGGTAAGGATTGATAATGCAAAATTAGATAGGGTGCATGATAATGAAAATATAAAATTGATACACAAACACCATAATAAATAGCAGACACAATAGAAGATAAAAGGTAAATATCTGCAAAGATGGCACGGCAAGTAGCTGTCATTGTGTATATAGTCTACATAAGGTTTCCAAATTCAATTCACTGAATAATATGCACCTTTGATGACAAAAAATCCATATTCAGAGAAGTGCATATGTTCATTTCATTATATAAACAATCCTCATTCTAAAAGGAGTGTCCCAATTGCTTTTTCATATCTAAAAACTTTTTCCAATGATTGTTCAGAATTATTCCCTCCATCCCACTATCTTTGTCTCATCTTTCCTTTTCTGTTGTCCCACTGAGTTTCTCCCATGCTATATTTGGTAATATTTGTGCGGTCCGAACTCATTCATACTTTACAAATTCAATATTAAACACATGATTCCACTTCTCTTAATATGCGTATCACTTCCAAATGTCTCACAA